ACAACTAAATTATCAAACCAACTCATATCCCATATATCAAGCCCCCCGTCCAAATGCTCCAAATTATCGCCAAATACTTCCCCTCAACAATGCAATTACGATCCCTTCCGTCCTTGATTTGAGAAGAAATCTGCTAGAAATTTCACTCCGCTCATCGAAAGCTGAACAAAGCTATTCGAACGATTAACTGCAGTAGGATATATTCACCCAGTGGGGCCTAAGCCGATTGACACTAGCTCAAAGCTTTACAGACCTGACCAGAGGTGCGCATATCACTCCAACGGTGTTGGACATGATACCGAGGACTGTATCAACCTGAAGCATAAGATCCAAGACCTGATTGAACAGAACGTGGTCTCTCTTCATACGGTCGCGCCCAATGTCAATAGTAATCCTTTTGCCAACTCATGGAGGCGTCACTATCAATATGATAGAGATAGATGATGATTGGTGCGTGACAAAGGCAATAGTTCTGATTGCTCCTGATGAACTAGAAAGGGCTGTAGCCTCGTTAAGCATTAGAGAGAAGAAAGATTTTGTGATTCTAACACCCGAGAAGGCTATTGCCTTGGTGCCACGAGAAACTCTTGACCGACCAAAGTTTGTGATTAAAAAGACTGTTACCCAGAGTATGACCAGATTCGGCAGGTGCTACACACCAGAAGAGCTGACCTAGGGTGTGCAGAAAAAGGATCAGTCTAAAAGGGGGATCCGTGAAACCAAGACCGAGGCATTCTAGAGAAAAATGTTGCCGAAAGATTATTCGATTGTGAAGCATTTGGAGAAGACGCCAGCTCAAATTTCTGTATAGGCTTTATTAATGAGTTCGCATATGCATAGGCAGGCTCTGATGAGGGCTTTGGACGATACTTATGTGCCTGTGGGTACCAACAGTGACAATTTAGCAGCCATGATAAACCAGACTATTCGAGGATACCGAATTAGTTTTTGTGATGAAGAGCTGCCCTTTGAAGGCAGGATGCACAACAAAGCTCTGCACGTCACCATTATGTGTCAAGACAAGATAATAAATCGCATCTTGGTCAATGACGGATCCGATCTTAATATTTGCCCACTTTCAACTCTGAGGCAGCTGATATTCGACCTGGGAAAGCTTCACCAGAAACAAGTCAATGTGAGGGCTTTTGATGGAGTGCAAAAAGACACATTGGGTACGGTAAACTTGGATATTCAGGTGGGTCTTGCAGAATTTAATGTGGAGTGCCAAGTGTTGGATATCAACACCAGTTACGACTTGCTTCTGGGAAGACCGTTTATCCACATGGTTGGGGCTGTGCCGTCTACCCTTCACCAACTAATGAAATTTGTTTGGAAAGACCAGGAATTGGTCATTTATGGTGAAGGGAGCCATTCCAATGGGTATGCACCGATCGTTGATGATGTCTCTCGAGGTTATGATTTCTACACGGTGGAGCTGGTAAATACCACCGGTGATGGCTTGGCTCAACAGCTTCCTATGCCTTCTGTGTACAAGATGATTTGCTACTGTTATGCTCCGGAGCAGTTTTGAACCAGGTTTCAGATTGGGGAAGCATTTTCAAGGAATTGTCGAGCCTATCCAAATCCCCGTCAAATGAGCAAAGTTTGGTTTGGGGTATGTCCCAACAGATGACGAAGCAGAGATGAAGAACAAGAGTGTTGATCAAGCATTGGCCAGGCCAATTCCTCATATGTACCAGTCATTCCCGGTGTGTGGATAAGTTAATGATGATGGTCTCGGGGAAGGAATCTAGGGCCTTTTTAAGGAGATTGATGTGGTCATCGAGGAAGAGGCTGGGACATCGGGCATTCGTGATGCATAACCTGAGGAGCAATTGCAAAATTGGACCTCCACATCGCTCCTGATTTCCCGTGCAACTTGGTAGAAAAGACATGTGTCTTTGTTTGTTTTTAAAATCGATGGTAGTTCGAAAGAGGCTCGAGACCCACCCTTTATGCAGTTCTTATTAATTTGAAGTTTTCAAATTCCCTCATGATGTTTAAAAAGGCAAAGCGGCCTTTGGCCGTGGCCAAAGTTTGTGCTTGTTTTTCAATTGAAATGAAAGCCTCTTTCATCGAAAATTTGTTTATTTGCCTTATCTATTTATATTTTACTTTCCTAACTTTGTTTGTTTATAATTTCAGTAATATTAATTTAAAACTTGACAATGTCATGTCATGTCATGAACCGAGTGAACAAAATGAGGCAGGTGACGATGAGTGCGAGGAGTATGAAGAAGAAAATGAGATACCTGAATATGTTGCCGAATAGTTTTGACAATTTGAGAATCAACACAAGCCGAATTTGGGAGAAACCGAAACTGTGAATCTCGGAGATGAGGAATGTGTTAAAGAAGTAAGAATCAGTGTCCATCTGACTGAAGCTCAAAGAAGATACCTAGTTCGTTTTCTTAGAGAATAAATTGATGTATTTGCTTGGTCTTACAGAGATATGTCCGGGCTGAGTATGAATGTGGTGTCCCACAAGTTGCCGATTAATCTAGAATTCAGTCCAGTAAAACAAAAAACTCGAAAGTTCAAACCAGAGCTCAGTTTGAAGATCAAAGAGGAGATTACAAAACAGATCGAGTCCCAAGTGGTGGAAGTGACGCAATATCCGAGTTAGTTAGCTAATGTTGTTCCGGTTGCCAAGAAAGATGGAAAGATCAGAATTTGTGTCGACTACAGAGATCTCAAAAAAGCTAGCCCGAAAGATAATTTTCCATTACCAAACATTCACATTCTCATTGATAATTGTGCTAAACATGATATGCAGTCATTTGTGGATTGTTATGCGAGTTATCATCAGATCTTGATAGATGAAGAAGATGAAGAAAAGACAACTTTCATTACACTCTGGGGTGTATATCATTATCGGGTGATACCTTTTGGTCTCAAGAATGCGGGTGCTACTTATATGAGGGCTATGACAACCATATTTCATGATATGATTCATAAAGAGATCGAGGTGTATGTAGACGATGTCATAATCAAATCCCGCAAGAGTTCAGATCACTTGACTCACTTGAGAAAGTTCTTTGATCGTCTGCATCGATACAATTTGAAGTTAAATCCTGCCAAATGGGCTTTTAGAGTTCCCGCCAGAAAGTTGTTGGGATTCATAGTTAGCAGAAGAGACATTGAACTTGATCCTTCCAAGATCAAAGTGATTCAAGAGTTACCTCCTCCGAAGACCAAGAACGAGGTGATGAGTTTTCTGGAAAGGTTGAACTACATCAGTCGATTTATAGCTCAATCCACCGTGGTGTGTGAGCCAATCTTCAAGTTGTTGAAAAAAGATGTTTTGACCGAGTGGACCAGAGAATGTCAAACTGCTTTTGATGCCATCAAGAACTATTTTTCCAATCCACCGGTATTGGTTTCTCCACGGGAAGGAAGTCCACTATTGTTGTATCTGTCTATCTCGGATAATGCATTTGGATTCGTGCTCGGTCAACATGATGAAATTGGGAAGAAGGAGCGAGCCATCTACTACTTAAGCAAGAAGTTCGCTCCGTATGAGGCTCATTACACTATTTTGGAGAGGACATGTTGTGCTTTGACTTGGGTTGCTCAGAAGTTGAGACATTATTTGTCTTCTTATACCACATACCTTATTTCTATAATGGACCCGTTGAAGTATATTTTCCATAAAGCAATGCCAACTAGAAAGTTAGCTAAATGGAAAATGCTTTTAAGTGAGTTTGATATTGTGTATGTGACTCAGAAGGCGATAAAAGTGCAAGCCTTAGCTGATCATCTTGCGGAGAATCCAGTTGATGAAGAGTATGAACCGCTCAAGACTAATTTTCCCGATGAAGAAGTAGCATTTGTGGGTGAATATATTTCTGAAGAATACCCTGGTTGGAGAATGTTCTTTGATGGAGCGGCGAATCACCAAGGAAAAGGTATCGAAGCGGTCTTATTGTCAGAAACTGGTCAACACTATCCTATGGTGGCTAAACTCCGATTTGATTGCACAAACAACATGGCTGGGTATGAAGCTTGTATCTTTGGTTTGAAGATGGCAGTCGACATGAATGTTCATGGGCTTCTGGTTATTGGAGACTCAAACTTGCTGATTCATCAAGTTCAAGGAGAATGGGCCGTGAAGAACCCAAAGATCACACCGTATGTGCAGCATATACATAAATTGTGCAAAAGATTCCGCAAGATTGAATTCAGGCACACTCCCAGGACACAGAATGAATTGGCCGATGCTCTTGCTACCATTGCTTTAATGATCAAACATTCATATACAAGTTACATTGATCCAGTGGATATAGAAGTAAAAGAGCAGTCTGTCCATTGTTCACATGTTGAAGCGGAACTAGATGGCTTGCCTTGGTATTTTGACATCAAAAGTTATTTAGGGACCGGGACTTATCCTGAAAATGCAACGTTCAACCAGAAGAAGTCGATACGCCGTATGGCCCTCAATTTCTTTGCAAGTGGGGAAATCCTTTATAGGAGGACTCCAGATTTAGGTCTTCTCAGATGTGTTGATGCTAGTGAAGCTGCAAAGTTTCTGGAACAAATACATGTAACTCACTTTGTCAAGGAAGATCCTCCGGGCCGGTTATTTCTGGATGACTATGGAGCATGATTGTTGCAAGTTTGTGCAGAAATGCCATAAATGTCAAGTGCATGGAGATTTGATTCGAGTGCCGCCTCACGAACTCAATGCCATGAGTTCACCTTAGCCATTTGCAGCTTGGGGCATAGATATCATTGGTCCAATAGAGCCAACTGCCTCCAACGGACACAAATTCATTTTGGTTGCCATTGACTACTTCACCAAGTGGGTGGAAGCAACTTCATATAAGTCGGTGACCAAGAAGGTCGTAGCTGATTTTGTTTGCAAAAATTTGATATGTAGGTTTGGAGTGCCAGAATCCATCATTACTGATAATTGAGCGAATCTCAACAATCACTTGATGAGAGAGATATGTGAACAATTCAAGATTATTCACCGGAACTCAACCGCCTATCGTCCCCAAATGAATGGAGCTGTAGAAGCCGCCAATAAGAACATAAAGAAGATTTTGAGGAAAATGATTGATAATCGCAAAGGTTGGCATGAAATGCTGCCATATGCTTTGTTGGGTTACCGAACGATTGTCAGGACATCAGTTGGAGCTACTCCATATTTGCTAGTATATGGAACAGAAGCAGTTATACCTGCAGAAGTTGAAATACCTTCATTGAGAATCATCCAAGAAGCTGAATTGAGTGATGCGGAAGGGGTTCGCAAGAGGATTGATCAGTTAACAATGATTGATGAGAAGAGAATGGTTGTTGTTTGTCATTATCAAATTTATCGACAGAGAATGATTCATACTTTTCACAAGAAAGTGAAAGCCAGGATATTTGAAATTGGGTAGTTGGTCCTTAAACGCATTTTCCCTCATCAGGATGAGTACAAAGGGAAATTTGCACCAAATTGGCAAGGACCCTACATGGTTCGCAAAGTGTTATCCGGAGGTGCCTTGGTCTTGTCGGAGATGGATGGCATCGAATGGCCGAAACCGATCAACTCAGATGATGTCAAGAGATATTATGTGTAAAGTTCCAGTTTGTATTTTTATCATTCCCTTGTAATCATTTTATTTGCTTGTAATCGTTTTGTTTAGAATTTTATCCCTCTTTTAATGAACTACGTCTGACCTGAATTCTCAAGAATGAGATACGTAGGCGACATATGTCGGCCTCGGTCACCCCTTTTATCCCCTTCTAATATTTTTCCTTGTATTTGAACTACATTCGACCTGAATTCTCAAGAATGAGATACGTAGGCGGCCTATGTCGGCCTCGGTCGGTTCCTTATTTAAATTTCTTATTTTTGTTAATCTCGAGAGAGGAACTACGTTTGACCTGATTTCTGCATCAACGGGATACGTAGGTGCCACAACGACTCGATCATATCTCCTATAAGATTTCTATTTTTCTTTACAATAGAAACTGGGACAGAATTTTTGAGAGAGACAAAAAATTCTCAAGAAGAAGATCTTTTCAACAAACCAAGACTGAAGTTACTTTGAGATTTGCAATTGGGACAAAAAATTTTAGAAGATCTCAAAATTTCCATCATTTGATCATCCACAGTTCAGTATGCGCCAAAACAGTTAACTGTGACAGAAATTTTTGAGGATGACCTCAAAAATTTCAATAAGCTTCATCAGAAGTTTAGAATAACTTTGAATACTTCCTAACAAGTATTCAAATAGACCTCGAGACACCAACTCCAAATGGCGTTCATTAGGCTTGACGTGACATAACACTTGGCAGCGACCTTTTCCAAACATTATTTTTGAAAATCTATTTTTCCTTAAAAAAAAATTCCCTCATGTTTCAATTAATTTTGCATAAAAATGTTTTGTCTTATCTATCAAGAAGCGGGAGATCGGAGAAATCAACCGGAGATAGCAAGGCAAGGAGTAGACAACTGAAGAGATTGACACAGATCAGTTCATTTTCAAACTAACAATTTTTCTGTGGATGTAGGTCTATAGGCTTGCCGCAAGATTAGCATATTCCTCCATTTAATGAATATGGAGAAGTCAAAAAGGCGAGGAGCTCCCCAAATTGATAATTTTTCTGTAGATGCAGGAAATGTTTTATGTTTCTTATATCAAATACTTGGGAATATGAATAACGTTATTTCATTCAAATTCTCAGCAAGGAGAGGTCCATAATGAACATTGCAACTATGTTCAGAGACGGAACAAATGAAAACAACGAAGAGGGCAATATTTTTATTTTCTAGAAACTAAAGATATCTGGAAGACGCTTATCTGCATTATATTACCAAATATGATAATATTTCTTACCCTGAAGGTCATTTATATCGTATCGTTGAATGATATGATACCATTATCCGAAAAGTCATTCACATCGTATTGTCAAATAAGATGATACCACTACTCCGGAGGTCATTTTTATTGTATTGTCAATTGAGACGATACTGCCATCCAAGAGATACCTAGAAGATCACCTATGTTGCTCAGTGAAGCATTATCTTCGTTCGGTATCAGGGAGGCATCATCAAAAGATTCATGCATTGCAAGAGAAAGAAATCATGCATAGCAAGAGAAGTAGATCACGCATTGCAAGAGAAGATTCATGCATTGCAGACGAGATTCATGCATCGCGGGAAGAGATTCATGCATTGCAGGAAAAGATTCATACATTCCAAGATCAGATTCATGCATCACGGGAAGAGATTCATACATTGTAGGAAAAATGGCATGCATAGCAAGAGAAAGAAGTTATGCATCGCAGAGAAGTCATGCATAGCAAGAGAAGGAAGTCATGCATCACAAGAAAAAGATTCATGCATAGCAAGAGAAAAAGTCATGCATCGTGGGAAAGAAGTTCATATATCGCGAGAAAGATTTACCCATCACAAGAAGTTCGATATCGACTGCATTTTTTTTCTTTGCAAAAAAGACATCAAGAGAATTATCAACAACGATATCAAGAAAACTATCAACATATTACATCAGCCTATTTTATTACTTCGACATCAACGAAATAGTACATTGAAGATTATATTGAAAATATAATCCACAAGCTTTATTTGCTTTACATCAAACTGGAGGAAGCTGACGTCGAGCTTCCAAGGAGAACAATTAAGTGTCAACGTGGTAAAAGACACCATCTCCCCATTTGAATTGCATTTTATGCTAATGAGTTTTATCTTAGTCTTATCCGAGAGCATCCCAAGAGGATGAATTCTCAAACATACCACATGTGCGAACGACATCAAAATAGGATGCAGCACAACGTGAAACTTTTTCTTAGCAGCGAACTGGGACATAGTCCAAAGAGGAGTGCCAAACTCTTAGGATGCGAGCAAAGGAGCAACTTCCCACAATCAAACCACACCCCTATCAGAAGGCATGTGGTTTTTTTTTAGGGTGTCCTAGTTTTAATTTCGCATCCGGAAATTTTGGTCTCCACTGTAGACATCTTTCCAATCTGAGTAACAATACACCAAGAGCTTTAGAAATTATGTCCGTGTAAGTTCTTAATTATGGGTGTGAAGCGCGCCACATTCATGGCTAAGGGGTTGCAAGCCTCCTTTTTATACTTGACTTACTTTGTCGCTTTTTCCAGAACCAAAGGTTATCTTGCATAATAGATTTCCCTTTTCAATAGATTGAGTCGAACTACAAGCAGCCTGATTCCCTAAGTTGAGAGATATGTAGGCGGGATCAATGTTGAAAACTCGGTTGTATTCTGACATTCGCTCTTAAATCTTATTCCCAAGCATTCTAGTGCCTTCATAATTCGATATCAGGATGACTTTTGAATTCTTTCAGAATCATGCGTGAAATCAAGCGTATCAAACTACAAGTGGCCCAAATTCTCATATAGCCTGAGATATGTAGGAGACCCATTTTCGGGGTTTGGTCATAATTTCTAAAGTCCGTACCAAAATCCCTTTTCCAGAAATGACGAATACATGGTCGGTCAAAATTAGATTCGTCAATTTCATTTTCTTCGGATTTCTTTCATCAACCCAAGTAAAACGAGGGACAGTTGTTGACACCTAATTTTGACCCTCCCCGATAACAATTAATTTCCGAGCTTCTTAATTTTCAAACGATTTAAAATAATTGACCTTACAAAATTCAAAATATTTTTTTCAGGTTAGTTTCTAAATAGTTGTCACTTTTTTTATAATTTTAAAATAATATATGTATATTTTTTGAATTTTATAAATATTCGAAAATCATCTCAAAAGGTTTTGTTTAGTCGAATATTTGGTTAGTTTGCTTAGTTATTTAATAGTTTATAATTTGAGTTAATTAGTGTTTAATAAAATTTTATTTATACATAATCAAATTAATTATTTTATTTCGTGACAGGTAAGAAGCTCATTAATTAATTATATTAATTTGTCCTATTTAAGTTTTAGTCGAATTTGCTAATTAAACTCGATTTGGCTAAACTCTTAAATTCAAAGGACCCATGTTGGGCCTTTATATTCCATTCGGCCGACCCAGCCCACCACTTTTTCAATTCCAGCAATTCCCTCCAGCACCCCAGCCTACTAATAATACCAAACCCAACCCAAAATCAGCAATCTGCATATCAATTTCCCCCAACTCAATTCAATGCTCCATGTCCACACTTTCCTCTCCGACCCGGCCCATTTCTTTATCCCAAAAGAACCCAGAAATTTCCAATATTCCCAACGACAGTAGCAACATACCAAAACAACTCAACCCTTTTTCTTCCATTCTAATCCCAGCGCGTAAACAACAACAAGAAGCAACAGCGTCTTCAAAAGCGCCTCCATCAGAGAATACACGACGACGTCAACAAATGATTCCAGCTACACGATAACAACAATGGACACATACGAAGAAATTTGAGATGGAACAGTACACGGCGACTTCACGCTTTGGATGCGCGCAGGCACTACGCTGCAAATTTTTGTTTGCTTCTTCCCGTCTCTCTTCAGCTCGTTCAATCACAGTATCAAGAAAGAGGCACGCGTATGTTTCCCTTTTCTCTTCCGGAATGGGTTGAAAATCTCAGAAAAAGTATGCTTGCCTTTAATGGTGAAAAACTTTTTTGATTTGAATTTCAATTTGGGCCTTTTCTATCCGAATTCTGGTCCGTTTCCCCCTAATTTGGAACCTTTTTTTCCTATAAATACTTCATCTTCTTCACTATGAAGGGGCCGATAATTTTGAGTTGGAGAAATATTGGAGATAGAGAGTTGTAAAAGGTTAGAGATTTTTAGTTGGCATTTTTCTAATAGATATACAGAGAGCAACAATTGCAAGGAATGGCTGTAAAATGCCTACAAAAAAAAGAGAAGAAAACGAGTTTCAAGTTCGAGTTTCACTCTTTTATCTCGTTTGTCATCCTCCCGGTCCATTGAAAGTGTTGTGGTTTGAGGTTTGGTCGTGGGAAGGTTCATCTTCATGCTTAGCTCGTCTTCCCGGTTCGCTGCCCTAAAAGAGGTAGAAACCTTTCCTTAAAATGTATTTCGTTGGACATTTAATTGTTGCGCTTACTGTTCCTGTTTCCTCTCAATTATGTCTTGGTGTTCTTCATGTTATAATTGGATAAATTTGATGTCAGTTTTAGCTAAAATCTCTGTTTGTGTCGAAATCTTGTCTATTGTTCCATAGAAGTATGTCTGAAAGTTTTCAGTGCTTTGTTCTTTTCTGATCAGTTGTTAGTATTATCTTCATAATCTCAACTGTCGAACCTAATTAGTATGCCCAGCTTGTCTCTCTGTTGTTCATCTGTGTTTGTAAGAATTCATTGGTTGTTTAGGTGTTTATCAATATTTATGCTTATTTTTGCAAATAATAATTTCACAGCTTCTTGTTTGTGCTATTGACATCCCTCAAGCATGATTTTTGCTCGGATTCTATGTTGAATACCATTGTCATGATGCATATTTCGTTCATTAGCATTTTTTGGTTCTATTGTTCATGTTCTTCGGTTAAATACTTTCTTGAATCTCAAGCTATTATCCTTTCTCGCCTTGGCACCTCCCCAAGCTTGTTTCACTAATCGTCTCCCCTTAGAAAAATTCTAGAATCACTATTCTACCAACACAGTTATTTCTCTCGTAGTCTTTACTCAAGGTGTGATTTTGTTTAGTTCTAGGTTTGTTACAGACACCTTCTAGGTTGCTATTTTCTTAAGTTTTTTATTTTATTTTGTGAGAACATGTTGCTATGGTTAATCATACTTGAGATAGAATAACAAGTGCATATATGATTGGACCATATGGTGTATTACTGCACTAGATGCCTTGACCCTTTAGTTAACTATTTGTGGATACATTAAATACTCGTTAAGTTGTAAAGAGTTAGGGTTCTTGTTTTCCATTAAAATTAGGAGTAGAATTTATGAATTTTCTTTCTTCTTTATCATAGTATTAATAGTTGCCATGTTAGTTTAATTATTGTATATGTGATTTGTGTTGGTCATAATTTTAAATAGCTACTGGTTTGATCACAGGTTCTCTCTTTTAATTAATTAACTTTTGTGTTGAATGAGTGATCAAGCCTTTATCTGTGTTTTTCCTATTGTGATTATGTAGAATAATCATGCACTTTGTTTTGGTCTCATATGGGTAATGATGAACATGCCACAGGCACATTTTTATTTGATCACCATAGGAGTTCTTTCCTCTTTTGTTCTCATGGAAATTTAGCATCTATTTTGAAGTAAGACTCTTAATATTGTATTGAACAAGTTACTTACTAATCCTATTTATCTTTTGTTGCATGTGAAATCCGGTCGGATTCACTATGAACTCCTACCTTCTTTCTTGCATTTCGGGAGAGCCATAAAGGCTCAAATTCCTTCTTTTCGAGTCAGCTGGCTATTGAATTGATGAATAGGGTTTGGAGTAGATATACAAGATTGTATACACTAGTATACATCTAGTGTATACGAAAGAGGGAAAATGGGCATAAAGGCCCCAAATTTCGAAAAATTTGTAGGTATTTTGTTACTTTGGGCCTAATCCCCTCTCATTTCGCTTATTATTATTTTGTTAGAAGTTTAGGACAGGTGCAGGTGAATCAAATAGGGCAAAGGCCCACAACGAAAATGGGCCCAAATACAGGCCCAGGCGGACAGGAAAATCGAATTTGGGTCCAAATCTCTTTCCCTTTTTGCTTTATTGGGTTTGTTTACTTACCGATATCTGCTACTTAAATCTTAAGTTTTTTTTAAAAGAATAAAAAATTTAAATCCCCGAAAGACACCCATTCTGAGTTAATTACTTAACTAAGTTATTCATCTTTTACTTGACTTAAAAAATAAATAAATAAATAAGTTTATAAAATATTTCATTTAGGTAATATTTCAATATTTTTCTTTTTAAAATGGTCCTAACTATAAAATTGTTCAATTCAAATTAAGTCAAACGAATTTAGCTAAATAATTAATTGCCGGATAATCGCATATTAGTGGGCATTTCGGGTGCGTTAAATCCCTTCCCAAAATGCTAATAAGAACCCCGAACCCCTTTTAAGTTATCATTAGATTTTCTGTTTTAGTCTTTTGAAAACAATGGTTTTCTTAATTTTACTTTAAATTAAGTGGCGACTGTAAATCAGTCTAAGTATGTTTTTAAATAAAACAATCAATTTATATCCAATAAATATTAGATATAAATTGTTAAAAGGGTTGGAAAGAAAAACACTTCTATTAATTGATAAAAGGGTTGGAAAGAGGGACCCCCCTCGCTCCGTCGTCGTTGTCGCTCGCTCGGCTCGGCTTCGGCTTCGGATCGATCGAGAGATTATTTTTTGGACAAAGTTTGTTTTAATTGTTTTGTTAATTATTTATTTAAATTAAATTAAATGGCCAAAACATTTCAATTAATTAGTTAATTAACGAAACGTTCCAACCCGACTCGAATTAAACTTTCCCGTTTTACTTAAATTTCCCTCCGTTGGAAATGACTATTATGAAAGGTTGCAACTTTCAGGAAAAGTCATGACCGTTTGAAAGGTTGCAAACTTTCATTAATGGTCGTGTGGATTCAGAAAGGTTGCAACCTTCCGGAATCAGTTTCTCTTGGCTATAAATACCACTGATTTCTTCAGATTTTTTCCTTACGAATTTTTTTGATTTCTTTTTTTTCTTGTGCACAAAGTTTCTTCGTGTACTTTACTGTCGTTGAGTGGCTCGCTGACACCAGCATTTTGGGTATCAATACACTGGTGATTGAGATCATTCTATCTTGGGAGGACATATTCCAAATCAAACCTCGGATACTAGAGGGGAATAATTTTCTTAAGGGGACACTATGCATTCAATGGGATTGATCTTTTTCCGTTCTGATTTTCCAGATTCTGGTAAGTTTACAGATTTTAGTTTTTTGTGAATTAATTTATGTTCATATGTTTCTTCACTGGTTTGGATAAACTTTGGTAACTTCATGTTTCTACAAAGTTTGTTGAATCAGTAATATTGATTTTTAACACAGATTGCTAGCATACATTACATTACAACTCATATATATCTATTACAATTCCATGCATAATATAAACGAAACAAATGATCCCTATTAGGATAATCCAAGGACGGTAGAAATAGCGCTTCACATGTCACTTTTGGACTCTATTTTTGAAAAATAACCAATATCGTAAAACAGAAATTGGTTATTTTCAAATTACGGAGCTGAAAAGTGCCTATTTGTAAATTTTACCTTGCAAACTACTACCACAAAATAAAATATCATAGATGCATTTTGTACTTTGACCAACTTTAGACCAAGTACAAATAACTTATTACGATCTCTAACAAAATAGATTCCTAGAGATGAGATCAATTTGCTTTGACCATGGAATTATCTTCTTGGAGCTTTATGTTACTCTTCTCCTCTATCATCACATTCTCTTTCTTGTCTTTGAAATTATTGTTTTGTGGTGGTTTAGTTTTTATGGGTGGCCTTGGTGGTGGCCTCCTTGTTGTAGTCATGCATCTCCTACAAATTAAACACAAAAAGGCCAACAAATTCAAAAGGCAATATTATCAATTAGAATTATATCCCATGAATGTAAATGAGTGACTGACAAAATTTACTCTGCTAAATTATGGAACTCCAACATCAACTTTAAGAAAAAGGTCATTCAAAATATGACTTAGTGATCAATAAAGAGGATCAATAACCAAAAGGTTTCACGTTCACACCCCAAGGTGATTTCTTCATATTCGTCAAAATCCTTGGTGGACTAAGTTGTCCAGTACCTACATTGGTGGGAGATAGCAGATAACTTGGGGAATTGGAATTTGTTTTTTTTCAAATTTACCTCTCTATTTTTGGCTAAGGTTTAGAATTGTTCTTCGTTATACTTTAGGTTGCAGATCCATTAGGGTTAAGGAAATATATGAAACGATTTTCTAACACGAGAGTATGTATGGCCCCAAAAATATAATCAATGTGACTATGCGAATTAACATATATCATATAGTAGACGGATATTTTTCACAAGTTTTTTTCTTAAATAAAGATGATATAATTTTTCAGATATGCTGATATGCATACATTTTCTTAATGAAAATAGCTAATATGAAAATTTACATTGTTGTTATTATCTTGAGTAGACATGGCTTGAAACTGGGAAATGTTAGCATGGTTTTGGACACTAAGCTACCGGAAATTTGAAATTTACTTGGGAAAATTAATGAGAGGAATGAGTATCTAGCTAATCTTGTTATAATATATAAAGAAAAATATGTCACACTGTTATCAATGTATAGGGCAATCATTGACCCCACCTTACCCAAAAAAAAAACAAGAAGTATTTTTTTTATTATTATAAAGAATGGCTTTATTTTTAATGAAAGATGACAATATTCTTCAGTTCACATTCCAAAATACTGTTTTTTTATTCATGTTTTTACACTCACTGATAATCTTGTTGTCACCCACTATCTTTCTTTAGTTTTTTCTCCAATTAATTTTGGTCAAGAATATCTTTTTCCACACATGATCGATTGGCTTATTGGAAGACAAGACAAATGAAACATTTTTTCCACCAATTATGAGAAACGAAGAGGATTTTGAATATTCCATGGGTTTAGTCAATTAAGAGAAAAAAAAAATACATTATTACATTTCACATATTTAAAAGTGATAGAAATATTTCATTTTTTGGTCAATTTAACATATCAGAAAAGAAGTGCATACACATACCAATAATTACCTACTACATGTCAATTATTTTTAATTTCTTTTTCGTATATGTTATTTCTTATTTATTTTTTTTAACAAAGAATTTCACTTTTCTTTTTCTACATTGGTTCATGTATGATGGACTGCAGTAACCCCAACAATTTTACCACATGTACCACATAGGATCATGAAGGGAATAAATCCACTTTGAACAAGAATAAGGGGGGTACCGGGACCTTTTCTTAATTAATTTCAGTGTCTTTTTTTTTTAAAAAAAAATGTTATAGTTAGAGGGGGAGGTGGGAGGGCCGAGGGGGGTAGTAATTTATTTTCTCATCAATTAATCATGAAGGGTAAATGAAGAAGTATAATAAATTTTTGTGTTGGTTATTCTCTAAATATACATTTTTCGTTTTTCAATATATATATATATAAAAAGGAGGGAAATAAAATAAATTACATTTGAGAATAATACATGAAGTACTTCTTTAAGAGAAAAACTTTTTCTTGTTAGCTAACTGGGACTTAGTAATTAATCCTATTAAACTATGGGGGGTTGGGTCTTCAAAAACCAAATGGAAAAAATTTCAACATGCTAGCAAATTTAAATGGGAGATTTAGCAATACCAAAAATCTTCTTTGGGTTAGAGTCTTAGAAAAAAATAAATTATAAGAACCATAACCTCCTATTAACTATATTTGGAAGAGCCTCATAAAATTATACATTTTATTTAAAAAAAGGTATACCCTAGAATATTAGAAATCGAGATGGAATACACCTATGTTGGACTTCAGTAACCCCAACCTTTTTTACTCCTCTTCGCTGCCAACGGTGATCCTCTAGCATACCACTGTTATAAAGTTAACTCAATTATTGGTATTGCCCAATTAAAATTAAAATTTAAAAATAAAAATAACTATCAAAATCAATGGCTAATTAGTTAAACGGTAGGAATGAAATTTCTTCTATTTTCTCCCATGGTTAATCTTTTTTTGTTTACTTTGCTTTTGATTTCTTCTCAAAATCAAGATGTCTTGTATTTGCAAAGTCTCTCTCTAATTCAGATGGGTGTTTTCTACTTGGTCTGAACATGACCCCCCCCCACGAGTCTCTCTTCGTGGTCGCCCTCAATCCTCCGACGCTTCCCTTACTGGCCCTTTTTGATCTTCCTCCACCACCTCACTCCGCTTTCATCTCTTTCTCTTTCCAATAGTCTCATATTTTTTATCTTCTCAAGTCTTCTTACTAAAAGATGGTAAAAGGACAAGAAGAATTGAAAAAATAAATAAAATACATAATCTAAAAAGAAAATAATATTTCTAATAAATAAATTCTAAAAGAAATAAAATAATATTTTTTGCATATCTCACTCGCTAGTGGCGAATGAAATACACTTTATGTACCACATATGATCATAAAGGATAATAAATCTACTTTGAACAAAAATAAAAGGATATCAGGATATTTTTTAATAGTTCTAGTCTATTGCTTAAAAAATGTTATAGTTAAAGAGGGGTGGGGGTGAAGGGGGGGGAGGGTAACGATGTATTTTCTTGTCAATTAATCATAAAAAGCAAATGAAAAGGTATGATAAAATCTCGTGTTGGTTGTTCTATAAATATAATTTTTTTATTTTTCAATATATAAAAGGTGATAAATAAAATCAATTATATTTGAGAATAACACATGAAGTACTTGTTTGAGAGTAAAACTTTCTCTTGTTCAATTTTAAAGAAAACTTGAAATCTTTAAAGAATTTTTAACTCAAAAAACTAATTAAGTGTCTAATTTTTTAGTCAGAGATTAAATATATCTAAAAGTTATTTTTAATGTTGAATGACGGTAAGATTGTAACCATGACCTCTTTTCTTCGACATCATATTAAGGACTTGTTTGACTATAGATAGTGAAAACACTTTCTACAATTTTTTTTGGATACATGTTTGACCATATAGTATAGAATTTGTCTAGATTTCGAGAGATTTTGAAAACCCCAAAATCCACTAAAAACAATTTTTTGGCAAAAAATAGTTATTGATTTCTTTTTAAATTTTAAAACTTACCCAAAAAATTTAAAAGACCCCAAACTATTGATGGCCCCAACTAATTCCTATCTACCTTTTTCGGTCATCTAAGCTAGAAATGTATGCTCACCGTGATTATAAGATCGTTCGTAGAATATGAAAAGATTATATTAAAGAATATTGTTAATTACTATTGTTATTATTTTTTGAACTAATGGATCTTCATAACTAACTATAATTTAACGAATTATAGTAGCTAGTAATTGTGTTATATATTAATGATTTTAGGATAACATATTATCTTGTTTATTATAAAAACGACAATTTTATGCCAAACTTATGAATAATTTTGATAGATTTTAGAATTTGGATGACCTTGATCATTTTAGAGTGGAAGACCCAAAAATAGGAATTGATGTACACAACACTTGAAGTTGTTGTCCCAGCATAGTGGTTTTGCTCCTCGTAATAGATTCGAAACTTTCAAAGGTAACACTTAGGATTCCTTCTACTTTAGTAGAGAACTTGGAGCCAACAGTGTTAGAGACAGCTGACTGAGAGTCGATCCTTGTGGAAGCCATTTCGATATGCTTTGATGCTGAAAAAGTTGAGATGAGAGGTAGAGATCTTCCCATTGGGTGTGCCAAAATTTGTAGACAGTAAAATTTATGTCGAGAAAATAATAATAAAGACTGAAAATATCATAATAATTGTATTTATTTGATTCCAATTATGAGGGTTACAGTCTCTATGAATCCTCTGATTCATCTTTGCGAATATAAATTCAAGGGGTCTTGAAGCTTGAACATGTTCTTGGATTCAAGGGTATTCGAGTTTGATATTGAATCTTAATGAACTTGATCCTGAGTTATTCTTGAACTTTATCTTTCCTTATACTTGAATTCAAGGGCTTTTGCGCTTGTTCTTGATTATGGTGGTCTTGATCTTGAGTTGTTCTTGAATTTGATCTTGACTTGTAATTCAATTCAAGCGCTTTTGAGCTTGTTCTTGAATCTAGCGGTCTTTATCTTGAGTTATTCTTGAACTTGAATATTTGAGTGCTTGAATCTTTGAACTTAATTTGTAGCTTGTAGAGAAATTTAATGCGTTTGATCCACGAGCTCTCTCTTGTTTCTCATTTGAATTTAGGTGTCTTTTTTTGGAATTATGTGACCCCTATTTATAGTTGTAGAATCAAAGAGTTATGATGCAAATAGGTTTTCCTTTGTCCAATCAGATTTAAGTGACATGATATATTGAACTTTAGTAACGTGGACTCATCATTTGTAGCCATAATCAATGGATTGGTCCAATGAAATTGGACTTTAATTAAATTCATATTTATTGTACTTAAATGATTTGATCTAATTATATTAATTAACAATAGTTATTTGGACTAATATATCTTGAATTTAATATAAGCCGAATCATATTATCAATTTATATCCAATAAATATTAGATGATTACAAATGTCTCCTACTTCAAGTCTTGGCGAGATATTTTATCTTTCTAAGACTAGTTCTTGAAGTATTAAAAAAATGATAATTGCATGTCATGTATCTTAACATGCACCATGAATACATTCAATACATATACTCATTTGTAGACATTAAAATTTTGTGGGACTTTACAAGAAGTGTTCGGTTTCACTTAGGATTCTTGTAGGCTACTCTACCCTAAGCCATAACTTATGCCTATATAAATGGTATTATATTCCCTTAAGATATGCATCTCAAAAATTCTATAAATTCATAGAATATTCACACAGAGATCAAGATGTGACCTCCTATTTTTGAGAAATACACTGTTAATGGCCCTCGAATCACGGAGAAATCTAGAGAAAAGAATCAAGAGAACAAACAGAATCGTACCCGCACTATTTATCAATAAAATATTTTATTTTTTCATACCCTGTGGAACCCAAATCCAGTTGTCTTCATCTTTTCTCTCACAAATTAAATCTATAAATATGAAGTCACAAAACTGCAAATGTGGAAGAATGAGTAATTCAAGCTTCATCTTTGAGTTTCATCAAGTCCACTCTCCAACAAAACTTAAAGTAAGGGGAATTTGTAGACATTATAATTTTGTGGGACTCTACAAGACGTGTTCGATTCCAATTAGGATTCTTGTAGGCTATTCTACCCTAAACCTTACATGTTATGGTCTAATTACTCTAAACTTCACTTACATCGTACATATATGCAACATTCAAAGCAACATGTAGAGGTCTACATTACAATTTATATACTCCCTCCATCTCATTTTATATGAGCTAGTTTGACTTGGCACAAAGCTTAAGAAAGAAAGAAGGACTTTTGAAACTTGTGGTCTAAAATAAGAGATAGAAATTTGTGTGACTATAAATCATTTCATTAAGGATAAAATTGACATTTTGAAGTTACATTATTACTTAATATAGAAATATATCAATCCTTATGAAATCGACTAAAAAGAAAAGTAAATCATATAAACTAAGAAAGAGGGGTAGGGTATATAAAACAATCCCTGCATAATTT